TTGTGTCAGCAGCATTGTCCAATGAATACAAACAAAAACAACTAAATAATCCTATATTAAATTCCAAAGTTTCTTGAGACTGATAAATAAAAGCAAAAAGGTTTACACATGGGTAAGCAAAAGCAGACAGCACTTTCCAATTTTCTTGGAAAGTTTCTGGAAATAACAATTATGTCTTAAAAACTTAGCCCAGGGTCATGTAGTCTAGCAATAGACAGACAGTTTGCTCCTTCTTTTTTTAGGAACACGTGCTGCTTCTCTGTGGCAATTCCGTGAAGAGTGTCATTCAGGGTCACTTTTAGTATTGACTTTGCATATTCAGTTTGGGAAATTATAGGATACCAATGCTGTTCTTGGGGACTCAATATTCACAGAGGTTCTGGGTTCTAAGGAGACGCATATGAAGTAGAACTGAGGGCTCTTGCCAACTTTCTCAGTTGTCTGGGTTTGGATACAGGTGTGGCAGTCAGCACTGCAGACCCTCAGAGAGTCTTCTGCAGGAGGATAGGAGCTCACCCCGAGGCAAGGGAATCTGTGCAATCATAGGCCAGGGCCCAGGATGGTGTCACTTAATCCAGACTTTTCTCAAAAACACTGAGGAGCAGGGGCCAGCCTGGTGGCATAGTGGTTAAGTTCACATGCTCTGCTTTGGCGGCCCGGGATTTGTAGGCTCAATCCCGAGCGCAGACCTACACACTGTTCATCAAGCCATGCTGTGGCAGCACCCCACATACAAAATAGGAGAAGATTGGCAGGGATGTTAGCTCAGGAACAATCTCCCTCAAGCAATAAGAGGAAGACTGGCAATAGATGTTAGCCTAGGGCCAATCAAAAAAAAAACAAAAAACTAAAATACTGTGGTGCGATGTGCCTGAGACGAGAGTTGTGAGCAGGTGCCTGCGGTGAACTCTTTGCTGGGAAAGGCTTGAGAGGCAGACTATGAGCTGCAGATAGACTGACACCTCCTCCAGCTGCGTGCAGAAGCACAGGGATCTGCAGCCGCTGCCAGAAGGCATACCACATTCCCCAAGGATCAAACTCTTGCTCACGATTTTATCAAAATCTGGGCATGTCCTGACATCTGAATACTTGCTTTCTGGGAGAAACATCTTCAGCAAAGAGTGGACAGTTGGCACTCAAAGATTCTGTTTTTGTTGCATCCAAAGAGAGACTAAAATCTTATCAAGGCAAAACAGCTATGACATTTCAAACTCTGCCCAGAAAAACCCAAATGACAGCAAGACGTGGGGTTGAAGATGCGGGGTGAGAAGGAAAGGGAAATGAAAGAGGAGCCACAACAAGGAAAATATTGTGCTCCTGGAAATGAAACTTCATGATACTGGGACTCCCCCGTAAAGCCCTAGGGACTGACTCAGCACACATTGATAAAACGCTCAAGACCGTTCATTTAGGACTAGAGCAAGGTTGGGTTTCCCTACAACCATTATCAGTTACTGGACACCCTTGGGTGTTTTTATTTCTCTTTTCCCATAGCTCTTGGGGGTCCCCAGTCATTCCACTGAGCTGGCCTGGATTTGTTTTTTCCAGCAGAAGGCAGGAGCCCAAGATTGTTTTCCACCTTAGGAATAAAATCTGTTAACTAAAGAAGGTAAGTGACCCTAGGAGGGGGGCAGTTAATATAGACTTCATAGAATGTGCTTTGGAACTTTTTGTGTATTTTTCAAACATCAGATTTTGCCTGGGATATTCCTATAGCAACATACACTGCCTATTATTACTAGTGCTATTGTGGTTGTTTCACTTTATTGTCCTTCAATATTCAATCTCAAGGTGAGTGACATTTCAATCTCTCTTGTTTAGGACAAATTATTAAGTGCTTAAGGGCTATTTTATAAGTTTCATCTAAAAACAGACTCAGAGAAATACTGTTGTGCTTGAAACAGTTTGTTTCCCAAGGGTGCTGAATGAGACAATGCATTGCTATCTGTTCCAATAAATTTATAACTTCTGTCAAGGATGGAGATGAAATTTCTATTCCTCAGAGATGAGTCCAGATGGTGAAGATTAGTAATAAGTTAAGATGCTCAGCCTGAATTTGCCCAGGAAAATCTTTGTCCTTACTGATTGGGAACAAGAGAGAAAACATGAGCCTTCCTAAGATGACTTTTACCCAGTAAATGAACAACAAGCAAATAAAGAGGCACACACTCCTCCAACACCAACATTCTGGAATCTCAAATCCAGCTGAAAGGCCGGCTCTCTGAGCTCTTTAGGATGCTACAAGTTACAGGTGAAGGGCACGTAACTTATTACAGGATGAAAACAAAAGAAAATCTTCTTTATGTACTTTATCTGTTTCATAAATGGTCTGAACAATCACAAAAAAAGGAAGAAAAGAAAGAAGTGATCAACTGGTACCGGAGTCTTCTGAGGTCTGCTTGCATAAGAGAAACAATACAGTGTCTTTCTTTTTCTACGATTCACCACATCATAGGAACTCATGAAACTAAAGGAAGACAACATATAAAAGAGGGAAGAGAAAAGGTAGTGATAAAAGGAAGTGATGAGAGAAGAGAAGAAGATGTCTGCTCCAATCAAGCTGCCACGTCAGAGGATTTGTTTTGCCCACAGTCCAACGCTCGGTTCCTGATTTCGCTCTTGGAGGCTCAGGTGCCCTGAGCGTCTTTCCTCATCTGCTTTTCTCACCTCTCCCCTTCTCTCATAGATAATAATGACAAAGCGACACAGTAAATGTCTCTTATTGGGGGATAGGCAGAGCAAGGTGGTTCTTCCTCAGCTTTTCTAAGTTTCTAAAGGACTAACGAGACCTAAGTGAAGAAAGTAGAGAAGGTACCATTGTTTCCCCATAATCTCTAGAAGGACTAGTGAGACTTCTCATTTCTTTGAGCTCCCCACACTTTATCTAGGTTTCTCTCTGAGGTCCTTCGGCATCTCCTGCCCCACCCAAAGAGAATAAGTACACTAGTGGAAATCCCCTGAGCAAACTAGCACATGCTGTACCAAAATATTGTGTCTTGGCTTTGTTCTTTTACATCTTCACAACTAAAGGAAAGAGATACAATCAAAATGATAGTCCACTTAAATGATAAACAAGAGAATTTAAAGAGACATGACCCAATTACTCACCTATGGAGTGACAGTATGTGAGCAGTTTATGAGATCTGTGTTGGTGGATAGATACAATCTGTGATTTCTCCTTGAACGCTTATTTAGTTCATGGGAATTTACAATTATAGTTTTCTTGAAAGGATATTCAACTCGGTGTTCAAAACGTACCAATTTTTGTGAGTCAGGCTTATGATTTTCTAACCAAGCGTTCAAAACTAGATTAGAAACAAGGGCACAAATTATTATCTGATGAACAAAATTGTCACTCTTTATATTGTTTGGAAGATGTTTGAAAATAACAAAAGAAGGTCTCAGAAGATGGAGGAGACAGATTACATCCCGTTCAGTTGGCTTCTTGCTCTGAAATATCCCTTGAGCTTGTAGTCTGGAGGGTGACAATATAACCAGGGCACCTCATCTCTGTCATTGCACCTGCCTCAACCCTGCTTCCAGATTCTGGTACAAATGCTCCACCTCCTCTTTTCTCATTTTATGAGATAGTCACAATAAGTGTAATGATGAGAGAAGCTCACGCAGCTTTCTAAGATTCTCTGTTTTGCACACTCCAGGATGTTGTTCATCTTTGTTAGTCTAGCCATTTTTGCAAGCCCATAGGACCAATTCTACTCAATAACAGTGAATCAAACAGAAGTTCATAACTCACTGTCTACCCAGCACCTCTGTACTGATCACCTTATAATTGTAGTTTTGTGACTTTTTTCCAAAAGAGAGCCACTATGAATCAGGGGAGTGGTGTTTCATGGCCTGAATCCAGGTTAGATAATTCAGTAGAAAACCTGAGTAGAAGTATGTTCTTCGGGAGGCATTGCCTGTCTGTTGATGACAGGACTGCTGTCAACCTGTGCCTTCAAACACTGATAATGGCTTAAGTAAAAAAATCCAAAAACTACCAAGAAGCCAGCCAGGCTTAATCACGAGGCCGTACTGGGAACAATTTTGATTGACAGGCAAGTTTAGGGAGAGTGAATTATCTCTGTCATTGTCTCAGGCTTCTGCCCTCTGTATGTAGGCACCAGTGTGGTTTGCTTGTACCATACGTTCCCAAAAAGTTGTGCGGCAATCAGCTTTTCACAAATAGCATCCTGTCTTAAATACACTGAGAAAGTAACTATTTTATCCATTAAACAAAGGCTCAGCAGACTTTTTCTATAAAGGACCAGATAGTAAATATTTTACACTTTGTGTGCCATACGGTTTCTGTCTCAGCTATTCCACTCTGCTGTTGTAGCACCAAAGCAGCCATGTTTTAATAAAACGTTATTTACACAAACAGATGGTAGGCCAAGCTTAGCCCCTTGGCTATAATTAGCCAACTCCCAAATTAAATAATTCTTGAATGCCTACTATGATGGTGAGGTAGAAGTAAGTACTAGGGATACATAGAGAACTAAACAGAAAAACCGCTGTTCTTGTGAAAGTCTCTAGTGTGTATGTTCAAAGATAGGAAGTGAACTCTTTAAAACAAACCTACAAGAAATTACTTCATAAGGTACAGAATCTTTTTTTAAAGCAAAGCTCACCCCAGATAATTAACTGATTGGCTTTGTAAGTTTAGATTTTTGTCTTGTGATTCTTTTCGAGTGGACCCCATTTGCACTCTAGCCTGAGATAGCTTGAGCCTACACTTGAATTGACCACCACACTTGGAAATAAGCACAGTGAGTCTAGGGTCTACCAGGAGTACTAGGGAGGTACACTAATTTAAAATGCTCTACCCTTTCATTTCCTCCACCTCTGCTTACAGCAGCAATACTTTTACTCAGACTTCCTGTTTCTGCCACTAGTCTTCTTTTTTGCTGTGTTTATACTTCCCCCTGTCTGTGGTTAAGTAAGTATAAAGCCCTAAAGCTATAGATTTAAGTCTTTCTGGCTCTTGCTCTCACTCTCTCTCTCTCTCTCATTCATTCCTACCATAGGCTCACACGCCTGCTCTCTTCTCTCTTTCTCTCTCAGAATGACAATTCTAAGTATAGCTTTTGGTACGGTTTTCTATTTACTTCAAGTCGTTTCTGGAGAAAGTGGCTATGCACAGAATGGTGAGTCATTTCTAACTTTTCTTTAGGATTTCATATTATCTCTAGCATATGCTTCATGTTGCTCAGATCCTTAACAGACCTGAGCTGGGCACTGGGTTGGAATGCAGTTTGAGAAATTACTATGTATTCAGTCATTTTGTACGTTCTAACCACAAGAACAAGGAGCTTGGGGGCAATACTGTAGGTGGTTTATAAATTCTTAGAGTTGTTAAGAAGGAATGCATTTGACTCTCCAAATGTGGGTCTTAACATTGGTCAATGCCTCTGCTCTTACAAAAAGAACACCTTTATAGATGCAACGAGTGTGCTGTTGGAGAATCTCCAAGGTAATTTTACCTTGTTAAGAAGTCAAGCTAGATTTGTTTTGTTTAGCTTTTTAGGAGTTTCCAAAAGCATAACTTTCTTGATAAAATAATGTCTAGAAACAATAGCTTTGCTTGCGCTTACTGTTGCTATATCCCTAACACCTAAAAGAGTATATAGAACATAGTAGACATTCAACAAATATTTGAAAATTTCTTCAAAATATGTTAGTTTTGATAGACTCATGTGAGATTCTTACTGACTGAATAGAGAAAGATTGGAGTTGTCTCATTGAAATGTTTGCCTCCAACAAATTTACTATCATGTAATAATTCTCTTTGGGTTCACTGAAGTACGTAGTAGCTAGAAGCAGATGCTGCCTACTTAGTAACTATATTGTAACTACGACAAAACCGGACACATATGTGAAGCAGCAGCAGGAGCCACTGGAAACTTGGATCATCAATTTGTTCCTGGAAATTAAACTCTTTCACTTTAAGAGTTAAAAAGCGTTTTCCTATCAAACGCAGCAGCTGAATGACTCAGCTTAGATATTTTAACTCATGTAATTACTAAGGATGGAAATCCCTAGAATATTTTTATTAAGGGAATTGTCAGAGGGTTGACATTTTTCACAGTGTGACCATGTATGAATCACTTTGTGGCAGATCATCATTATTCCATGGTAAATGTTGCCTTGTGTTTGCACAGATAGATGCTTGGTAGGTAACACATAAATTTTACTTTTTGGAGTATAATATATTCCCTCTATTTCTCCCTGGTGGCTATACTATTTTTAAAAGAAATAAGAATTGTAATTGAAAGCTGAGTTTTCACTTTAACTTTTTAAATTTCAGATTTTTTTTTTTGGAGATTTTTAACCACCCATCTACGTGATCAAAATACTTCCCAGTTGGGGTGTAAAATATTCAGCTGCTGTTTGTTGAAAGATAAGTTAGTTCTCTGATGACCACAAGGGTGATCAAGAGAAGAAAGAGATACTTTTAAAAAATCCAAACCATTTATACTTTTATTCAACTAATTTCTTTTGGTAGGAAGACTTCTAAACCACATTGCCTTTTCTATAATACATATTATAAAAAAATTAAATTTTTACCGAAAAATATGCTTAGATAGTGGGCATTTAAAGAATAATAGGTTAACTCACTGTCCAAAAGCTCTATGTCATTTCAAATCCATAGTAATAATAACACCTTTGACATAGAACTCTTTGTCAAATGAGCCCCCAAAATTTCGTGTATCATCTCAGAATTAGAATTCTTATTTTAGCTTTTCATTACTTATTTCTCAAAAAAAAATGATAATAGTCATAACTATTCCTTATTGAGTTCTTACTGTGTTCTAAGCTAAGTCTTTGTATATATTTGTTTAGTCATTCCTCATAATAACATGAATTTACATATCAGAACGTAGAGGCTTAGCGAGGTTGAGTAACCTGATGAAAGACCACAGCTACAAAGTAGAATAACCAGGATTTAAACCCACATCTGTCTATCTCTGGTGCCGGAGGTCTTAACCACTGTGTATATTATTCTTAACTAAGAATTGTTCAGCTTAGATCACTCTCTTTGTAAAATGCCTTGCAATTTTGCAAATTGTTGAGGGGAATTTTTCTTGGTTGCAAAGCAACTTTACTCAGTAACATCTGCTAAAGAGCCAGTGAGCTGCTTCTCAAAACATAGCAACCTTAATTGTATGACCAGTGCTTTGCGTATTGTACGAGAGTAAACAGCAAACACGCTTTGCCAGACTGGATAGCTTTGGGCAGTGGGGGTGGTTTGTCCTACTGATGACCAGCATCTGCTAGACGGTGCTCTCTCTGGCTTACATTGTATGTTGAAGAATTTTGGAGACAAAGCTGATCCATGAATGTCTGAATTCAAATAGTAATGTAGGTTCTCTTACATGGGATTGGTGGAAGTTCCAAAGAAGAGAAAACATCAAAACAGCATGAAGACTGCCATGTCAGGAAAGGCTAAAACCACCCAGAACCATTCCATTGAGAAAGGTGCCAGCAACTAGAAGATGAGATCTGAGTCTGTAAGATTAGGAATGAACATGCATTGAAATGTGAGCCCTAAATGATGGACTGCCCCTCATTTTTTAAAACTGTCATCAGGAAGAGGGCCATACCCTGCTGAAATCACATAAGGAGTCTTTGCTGGCAGTAGAATTGTATAAGCTGGATGGAGTCCAGGAATGGTCAGAAAGAGCAGTGCTCAGAGCTCTTATCTAGATGTGGCTTTTCAAGATTCGTTGCTTTGACTGAACCGACCTGTCACTCAACTGGTTGGTCCACTCAGAACCAGCTTTACTAACTTTCCCATAGACCTACTGGGTTATTTAAGTAAAGAGGGTGCTGTTTGTACATCTCATGGCCTTTGGGACATTCAAATGGTGTTTGATTTTCTTATCATCTGTATACTATTTAAAGCCCTAGAAGATTAATTTTGAGTATCTGTGGACCTGGAAGCAGTCATAGGCTCACACTTGACAACTCTGAGAAGGGCTTTGGTTGCCATGGATTTTCTCATGTCCCAGACAGAAGATATTTGCTGACAGATTTTTCTGTATTAAATACAAAATGTCAATTTAATCTTAGGATCCTCAACCAGCTTAAGAAATTGAATGCTATCTGTGACAGACTGTACTTTCCAAAAGTGGCTGCAAAAAAATTCTGGTTCCCTACAACTTCTAGAATTTTGCCAGTGTCTGTAAGATATAATATCCAAAGAAGAAGGATCTATAAGAACAGAAGCAGTATCTATAAGATTCGCAGGAAGGTCCACCAGATGTTAGTTCTGTCAGATCTAATGTTTTCTAATCACTTTTGCCTCAGTTAGCAGCTTAAGACAAGTTGCCTTAAGTAAATATTCAGACAATGGAGATAATCAATGGCACTTTTAGTTGGGACCCCTATTTAGGCAAGGGAAAGCTACCCCTTAAAAAAGTGAACTTCTAACTGTAAGATAGCTATTATCTTCCTTCATTAAAAAAAAAAATACTTGGGAGGGAACAAATGAGGATTAGATAAAGTCAAAGTTCAGATTAGGTAACATATGAGTAATGGAGATATAGTATCTCATTTGAAATGTACCAACTAACAGAAGAAATTCCCATTTAAATAAAGGAAAGAGTGTGTTCATTGTCTCATTCTTGATCTCTGATGCACTAACCCAATGGTAGAAATAGAAATATCTGGAGGTTATTTATTGAATGTGATGAAATTATTTTTTCTATTAGAAAACTTTGTGCTCATTAGGTTTTATTTTCTGTTGTTGGTTTTTGTTTTGGTTATTTTGAAACTTGTTTCTAGTCTTTGCCCTTGGGCTTTCCTTCTTTAGATAAACTATAATCACTCCTTCACGTCTGCTACAAAAGGCTGCCATTTCATTAATGTCACTTCAGATTTCAAAAGGATGCACTTATTTGCTTCATTAAAAGCAACAGATTTGTTCCTCCTCAGGAGACTTTGAAGATGCAGAACTGGATGACTACTCATTCTCATGCTACAGCCAGTTGGAAGTGGATGGATCCCAGCACTTGCTAAGCTGTGCTTTTGAGGACCCAGATGTCAACAGCACCAATCTGGAATTTGAAATATGGTGAGTAATGATGGCTTCAGTGGGTGCTTAGAAATCCTCTGTCTTTCTTTTCATGTGCTACGCAGCAATGGCTGCAAAGGAAGGAAGGTAAAATCTAATTATCAAATATTAAAATCGAATGAATTCCAAAAACTTCCTGAAACTCCTTGTCCTACACCAACAGACTCAAGGAAAATACTCTCATGGGATCATCTTTCAGGCCTGCTGCTTCAGCCAAATGATAGTACAGATCTTGGAGATCCCACATCTCTCTTGACTTCATAGTACAATTTAAATGCTGGTTCTCCCAGGATGCTCTTGCCAAAAAATCTCTTTGCCCAACATGAGACAGCTTAGTGTCTTTAAGCTGCACTTTGGAGCACAATTGCCTGGTTTCTAATTCCAATACTAGCACTTACTAGCTCTTTAACCTAGAGCAAGTTATGTAACTTAGCTATGCCTCAATTTCTTCACCTTTTAAATGACATATACTATCTCATAGTAAAATTGTGATGCTTAAATAGTTTAATACATGTAAAGCACTTAGAAGAAACAACCAGTGTGTAATGAGTAATGAAAAAGAGGCATTAAATAAAAAATCTATGTCTACAGACCAATCTTCTACCATCTTGACACAACTTAACTTTGGATGATGCTCCCAATATCAATTTGCCAAAAAGCCACAGGAAAAAATTGGCTCTTGGTTTCATGAGGCCTCTGAGAAAAGGCAAAGAAAAAGAGAAAGTCTCTGTCTGGTTTTAAAGTTTGATAAAGAGCTCAGAGAGCTTTATCTTCTCCCTCCTCCACAAATCATCTCTTGTTGCTGAGGGTCACTCTCCCTAGTGACTTGAAAAAATACTCAAACGTGAAATTCTGACTTGGGACTATCTCCCAATTCATATCAGATGACCTTGTTTTAGTTATTTTCTTTGTAAGGAAAGTGAGTCAAGGTCCACCACACATAAGAGAGGGCTTCTTAAATTCCATGGACGCTTAGCCAATCCCCCACAATATATAATCTAGACAGTCCATGAATTCCATGTCTTACATTAATTTACAGAAGCTTCCTGCATCTGTTCATGTAGTGCTTCCTGCTGCAGTCATTGGATAAACAAATATGGTCTTTGACTTGAATTGCGTAGTATGTTCTTAGTCTGCCTCTGTTAGTTCACTTCTATAACACACTTTCCAGGAATAAATGTTGAGAGAACAGGAACCTACAATGTCTGGAATCTATGCTGCATATAGACTGTTTGGCTAAAAGAGCCAAACAACTCATTCAGAGGATGTGCTCATTTTTGTGGGCAAATCCCCCTCCCAAACAGAGGTTTGCCTTTGGTTTCTCCAACTAGCTGGTTGGAGGACTGCAGAGTTCCTCGTGGTTTCTCTCGGGGAGGCCAAGGCTGACCTTTCTGTACACTTTCACTCACGCAGTATTTGACCATTTCCTTGTCCACTTGAACAAACTTGCCCACCTCCTTTCACAAGCCTCTTGTTTTTTCCTGTCAAAGTTTAATTTGTCCAGAGCCTCCACTTGGGTTTTTCAATTGGATTCAGATATTTCCATTGCAAAGAGATTGTCTTACAACATGTTTTCAGTGTGAACAACAAATATAAACTCCTCAGTAGGTTAAGGTGCTTCTGGAGAGCAACTGTTTTCATAAATGTATCTGTACCGTGAGGGGGGATTGGTGGAACTCTTAGGTTCACAGCAGGCAATGTATCTCAATTTAAACTCACTTTTATAGAGTACTGTATTTGCTGGTTAGGTTGAGTTTCTTTTCTACAATAAAACTGGCTTTATTGGAGTTTTTTTCTGTTAATATAAATTTATAAAGAAGAAACTGGAAATCACTGAAAATTGTGCATTCTGCTGAAATTCTTACACAAGTGGGATTATTGATAGAAACCAGATGCTGTCTCCTATACCGGGGGCATCTTTCTAGATGTATTTCCTACCTGCCTGATCTGGCTGCCAGTCTTCCAGGCTTAGAAACCAAGTTAGTTAGTGTTCAATGAGCAGATCCATCTCTCAGGGATGGACTTGGGTTAGCCAAAATCACAGAGTTGGATTACCAGCATGCCAAATGACTACTTCACATTGACAGATGCAACTATCATAGAGGCCCGAATATTCGTACATGGCTCAGGACCTACAGGAGTTGGTGTCTGTGTGAAGAGACAGCGAGGGCCAGTGGGTTGCATATCAATATAAATCCATTCTTACTAGTGTATTTGAAAATTTTTCATTCACCAGAACTCTAACCAGCTCTCAAGTACCTGGAGCGACAAAGCAGAGGTGCTGGAAACAGGCGCGTAGGTTGGAATCCCAATAGCGACACTTAGCTAGCTCTGTGACCCGGGGAGTTATTTAAGCTCTCTGATCTTAACAGCTGCCCTGCATTGGGGTACAAGGATTAGTGACTGGCTTACGGTCAGTGCTTGTAAATGGTACTTAATTCTCTCAGCGTAATCCGATTTTCACTAAAAATGCGATCAAAGTTTGTTCCGTTAATATAGAAGCACAACAAAGGAAATCTGTTGATTTTTAAGACTAGAGTTATTTGGTTCAGGTCGCAAAGTGGTTAAATTTTCTTTTTTAATTAGTTGCTATCATTTAAAAATCTGGGTATTACTTTAAAAAAACTCAGATTTGATAATATGGAGCCCATACAGCAAAAAGTAGCCGGAACAGAATTCTGACTGCTTCTACAGATGAGGCAGTAAATTTCTGTGCTAAGGGGAGGCTCACTTCTCTCATTTATATTACCTGCATAGACACCATAGACACTTGAACTTGGGACCCGGCTTTTTAGGTGTTTGCATAATTTTCGTAGTCAGAAGGCAATCATATTTCCTTTATTTCCACATTCTTGGGGGCACCACAGTCACTCCCATGAACCGCCTACAGATACCACTTCAAATATGTCGCTTTTTGTTTTCATCAATTACCACCGTCGTCACAGGCTGCACCCTGACAAATTGTCCTCATATTCTAGGCTTAACTAGCAATATCTGTCAAGTGTCAATTTAGTCCTTTTTCAGTAAACCATACCAACTTTCAAAGTTGTTCAATATTTTTGAGCTAGATTCTGCCTTTCAGGGCCAACTGAGAAATAAAAGCTATAGTTTGTTTTTAATATTTCCATGTCAATATCTGTTTGCACCAATGAAAGAAATGCATTTATCACAGAAGACTGCCGGAGATTTGGGAAGGTGGAGGTGGGAAGAAGAAGCAGATGGGATGGTCCCCAGCAGTCTCACCCTATTTTCAGCGCAAGGGGATTTGTGTGATTGGCTTAGAGTTGATGTCCCCCGGGAAGGTCCTACATGGCCAAATGTGTTAGCCTATAGTACTACTTGGATATTTGCAGTGTTCTTTTCTCTCCGCCCAAAATATCCTAGAACAGCTCTATCCAACAGAAATACAATGTGATCCAAACATGTGAGCTACATATGTAATTTAAAATTTTCTAATAGTCACATTTTAAAAAAGAAATAAGCGAAATTAATTTTAATAATATGTTTTACTTAATATATTTAAAATATTATTTCAGCATGTAATCAGTATAAACAAAAATAATAATATTTTGCATTCCTTTTCTCATACTAAATCATCAAAATCTGGCGCATATTTCACATTGAGATCACATCTCAATTTGGACTGGCCATATTTCAAGTGTGCAATAACCACATGTGGGGTAGTGGCTGTTGTGTTGGACAGTGTAGTTCTAGAACATTCCTAACCCTAGCAATACATAGCTAGCAACCAAGTAAATTGTTTTAATTTAATTAAGTGAATTGAAATGAATTGGATTGAATTGAGTTGAACTACTCACGGGGGGACACTAAGTTTCCTCCAGTCACCTGAAGCCAGGGTTGGTGGCCAGAAGCAAGGTTATTCTGGGCCACAGGTTTATCTTAGTCTCCTGGCATGACTTCTTCTCCACATAGGGCAACTCGTGGAGTTCAGAATCTTTAAAAGGATGCCCAGGCTCATAAGACAGTCATATGGTCATCCTTCATTGTTTGCTGCTCATTAATCTCATTCCCTGAAAAGTTAGAATGAACCAAGAATAACATTTTAGATTCTTCTTAAACTTCCAGTAGTACCAAGAACTCACTACACATTAAGGATCTATAATCAAATATTCCACAGATGCTTTACTTACAAATATATTCTAAACTCAGTGATTGAACTAAAAGCCATTATCTAATTTCTCCACATCACATGTTTACCTAAAATTTAGAAATGGGACCATGCCCCAATTCTCCTCTTGTATCTTTATTCAACAAATCATGACAATGTTGCCATCTTCAAACCTGTCCATCTGACAGTCTTCCCAAGTTTGTTCCCTGGTATCCGTCTAGCTTACCTTAAAATTTGCTTTTTATTTTTACTCTACCCCAAGTGGGAAAACCCATCTAATTCAACAAGGGACACAACCCTCTAGAAACTCCAACACACACACACACACACACACACACACTCAAAGTCATAACAATTGCATGCTCCAAAAGATAACAGTTAATGAAAAAGCTATTTTGGGGGAATAATTTTAAGGAATGTCCCACAAATAATAAATATATTTAGCCAATTAATAAACAAATTTTCTTCGCCAATCTCTAGTTTTTCATGACTGCAGGAGCTTAACCAGTAACTCAAAGACCACAACACCCCCAAGGTGGGAGAGTCTGCACCTAAATTTGAGGCATTCTCAGATTATAACCCCATGCCCACCTCACCTCAAGACACACCAATATGTTCTCTGTTTGGAGTCCAGGAACAACCCTCAAAAGGTTTCACTTGAGCACATACAGAGAAGAGTGTACGCACATCCAATTCAACAAAGAAAACCAACAAACATTCTGGGTTGTAGGTAGTAAAGGACCTTTTTAGAACATTCTCCTTATGATTTTTTAAAAAAATATCTGGTTAATGAGAAGAATTCTTTTCATGTAAGCAAATTTTAGAGATACCTTTTTCTGCCATTATCTATAATAATAGATATTTTCCATTATTTCAATCTCTCAGTGCTTTTTGTGTCATTACTCCCAAAGTTAGTAAGATATTTTCTTCTAAATATTTTATAGTTTTAGCCTTTATATTTAGGTCTATAATCCATATCTAATTAATTTTTTGAGAGATTGAAGTTCATATGTTTCATACATTTGCTCAGTTGTTCCAGGACAATTTGCTAAAATGATTTTTCACTTCCCATTGAACTGATTGGGTGCGTATATTTAAAGTCAATTAAACTTATATGTATGAGTCTATTTCTGAACTCTTTATAATTTCTCTTTTTAAAAATTGAATTTTACACTTCATTTTTTTTGGCAGACTACATCATGTTCACCACCCAAAGACTAATTACCATCTGTCATCGAACACGTGTGCCCTATTACCCCTTTCACTCTCCTCCCTTCCTGCTCCCCCTCTGGTGACCACCAATCTACTTTCTGTCTCTATGTGTCTGTTATTGTTGTTGTTGTTTTTATCTTCTACTTATGAGTGAAATCACGCAGTGTTTGGTTTTATCCATCTGACTTATTTCGCTTAGCATAATACACTCAAGGTCCATCCATGTTGTCGCAAATGGCAAGATCTCATCTTTTTTATGG